TGCATAAATGTGATCTTGTCTCAAAAACAAGCAAACACACCCCCAGCCTTTCTATTCCTTTGACCCACTGTACACAACTCCCCCCTCAACTTTCTGTTTGTTTCTGCTTATGTGTGTTGGTTTTCCCGTAATTCTTCTCAGGGATTTTTCATGTCCATCTGGCCTGTCAGTTCCTAATTACATTGTTTCTCAGGGGCAAGGATTGTATCTCTCTTGCCCTTTGACTTTTGGTAGACAGACCAGTGCTCAGCACATTGGGTCACAGAACAGAGAGTGGGATTGGCTGGATCCTGGTGGAGGTTTATCGCCTGCTGTGTGGCCTGGAGCAACTTACATGACCTTTCTGGGTTTCAGTTTTTATTTATAAAATGAGAATGGTGATAGTGCTTTTCCTTTCAGGGTTATTGACTTAGCAGTGTTTCAGATACAGTAAGCACTCACTGAACACTAGCAGTATTATTATTAGCATTAGGATCTTAGAAATGATGTCAAAATGGGTGGCCGAGAGTGCCACATACAAATTTTACAGTTCAGCAGCACTGTCAGTTTAAATCAGTTATAAGATGGCATTAGAACAAGTTGTCTTTCCTGACTGAAGTGCTAGTGATTATTCCTGTCTCACTCATTTCCTCCCTCTTCCTTTGATAGGCAGGTCCACGAGATCCAGTCTCACATGGGACGCCTGGAGACGGCAGACAGGCAGTCTGTGCACTGTGAGTAATTAACCAGGGAGAGCAGAGTCCTTTCTCTGATGACATGGGGCTAATGGGCTGGGTTTCCTGACTGTGTTCTGCCTTGGGGGCTTAATGACTCAGCATGGAATGAGTTGTTAGGATGAACAGAAAAACCTCATGGCCAAGTTACAGAGTTCCCTGATTGTGCCCTCTGGAGTTCCACCAGTTTTATCCCCCATTACCCTTCCATTCAACCTGACATGGCCCTATGGGAATGGGAGTTCTCTCTCCATCTGTCTTAATCTAATTACCTAGTCTGAAAATTCAGACATGTTGACCTGGAACTGGCCATCTCTTCTGAGCTGAGAACTCTGGCTTCTTAGTAGGATTATTCAAACAACTAGCAATATTAATTAGTTTAGTTCCCACACCACAGTTTTTTTTTGAGAAGCATATGGGGTTGTGGCTTGGAGCAAAGTTCCCCTTTGAGAGCCAGCCTTGTAGACCTCCCACAGAAGCTCCTGTCACCTCTCTCTCACAAGGCCAGCTCTCACCAGGCCTGTTTCTGTTTCCTTTTTTTCCATGGCTCCTCAGGGTGGCCCGTCCCTTAGCTTTGTGCCCTACAGTGTGCACTAATCTAAACTGTGTTTGCTGCAGGTGCAGAGGTCTAGGAACAGCTGGTGCCAGGGTTGTCATTTCTTGGTGGGGAAGGCAGCTGCCTGGATGCTCGATCTGTGCAGTTTAGTTTCTGCCCACTGGCCTTTGTTTGCCTTCCCAACAATCTCATTGTTGCCTGATTAGAAATGGAAAGAGGTCTTTTTGATAGCCTTATCAAAGGGGATAGGGAAAGTGACTATCACACCCTCTGCCTCCGAGGGCTCTTTCCTGGGTCTTTCCTATTGATATGTGGTCTATTCTGAGGGCTTTAACACATCTCAGCCTACCCCTGCTTTCAGAACGCCTCTGGGTGTTTTCATACTAACTGTCCCTTTTCTTTATGCTTCTTCCTTTTCTTTTAGCTTCATCTATGAGGAGTTCAGTTGGGAACCTTTTTACTAAGAGTTTATTAACCATATCTGAGACCAATCCCAAATAGAGCTATATCAAAACATTTAGCTTAATGGAGTTATTTGGGCAACTTTTAAATGTTTGTTTTCAAAAGGTAGAGAGTTTATGTCTTCAGACATGCCATATACCTTAAAAACAGGACAGCTAACAACTATGTGTAGCTATAAGGATATACATGCTTTGAAACATAGTTTGCCTTGAATTGATTCATCTTATGTGCATTGTGCTCCTTTTGAAATACATGTTTTTAGTTTGTGTTATGGAAAAATGTTTGATTTATCACTTTTCTGAGGGTGGTGGTTGACACAGGGTTTCTCTGTGTAGTCGTGACTGTCCTGGAACTTGTTCTGTATACTAGGGTTGGCTTCTAACTCAGAGAGCCACCTGCCTCTGCTGCCTGAGTGCTGGGCTTAAAGGTGTATGCCACCACCGCCCAGCACAATTTATCACTCTTAATTTGATTTATTGTCTGTTTTCCAGTAATTTTTTTTCTCCCTCTCTCTTTTGTGCAGTAGTAGAAAATGAAATCCAAGCAAGCATAGACCAGATATTCAGCCATCTAGAGCGTCTGGAGATTTTGTCCAGCAAGGAGCCCCCTAATAAAAGGCAGAGTGCCAAACTGTGAGTGTTGACTCCTGATGTGGCTCAGATACTGCAGGCCCACCGAGGTAGCCCTTTCTCCCATTAGAAGCTATAGGATATTCTGAAAATCTGGGTACATACTAAAGAAATGAAGACTATGCAAAGATAAAGTGTCCCTAAAATACACAGTTTTATCTAAGCAGTATACCCTCCAGATTAAAAGTATGAGGTTTCTCAGAAGCCTGTGATCATGGTCCCATGTTTCTTTTGAGGGTGATTATGATCTCTTGTTTCTTTGAGGTCATTTTGAAATTATGCATTTTTCTGACCAGACCCCTAGCCACTGAAAGCTTAATGGTGCTGGGGATTTTGGCTCTGCTATTTAGTTCCCACTGGCTTCTGTTGGGCTGAAATGTCCTGGTCCTAATCGCCTCAATCAGTCTGTTTATAATGAAGTACTGATCTAATATTTGATACTCCACCATGAAAGTCAAAGGAAACTACCCTCACTAGCACTCCAACCCCTGCTCCTAAAAGTTCCATGAAACTTCATTGCTCCTCTACCTCAAAGCTGCCCTTGGGCTTCTTCCAGGAGTGTGGGATAACTCGTGCAAGGTCAGGAAGGGGTCACCAAGCCTGCTTCCTGTCACCTGTTCCCTGAAGAGTTGCAGTCCAGCAGACATTTAAGTAAAGCTGCTGGAGTTGTGTGTGATTCCACCCATCTAAAACCACAAGCTGCTGCTTGACTCGGCATCTTTGCTCGTCAGTTTAGGCACTGGTTATGAGCATTGTGGGGAGAAATGAAGCAAGGTCTTCTCCCCTGAGTACCAAGCCAGGCTGCCTCAAGGTGTGCCACCTCTGGTTTCCTGGAATTTAACTTCTGTGTCATTAATTCCAGCCGTGTCGACCAACTCAAGTATGATGTGCAGCACCTGCAGACAGCCCTCAGGAACTTCCAGCACCGGCGCTATGCCAGGGAGCAGCAGTTGAGACAGCGAGATGAGCTTCTGTCTCGAACCTTCACCACTAACGTAAGCCAGACACTGGGGGTGTCAGAACTGAGAGCAGGTCACCAGGCATCACCTCTTAGTGGGTGCTTGAAGCAGACTCAGGAGGAGGAGAACAAGTCGACTGACAGGAGATTTTGTGCATTGTCACTAAGACCATATCTAGATGGGGAATTTCTCTCCAAAACCCTGAAGAGGAAGTGGGTAAATTGAAGAAATGGGCAGAGGTGGAAGATCACACAGTCGAGGTGTTTTTGTGATCAGATTAACCCATCTGTAGAGATGCAGATGACAGCATTTGGAAGCTGCCTCCAGGCACTGCCATGGTACCGTGTGTCGTGTGTGTGTGTGTG